ATTCTTCTCCCCATCGCCGAGCGCAATCCTCGACATACCCTTTCCCTGCCGGCTTAATTTGTGGACGGATTAGCTGGCCTGAGCCTTGCCAGCTGAAGCAACTCGTGGAGTTGTTTAAGCAACCGGACCACCTGCGTTGCGGCTATTGGCAGCGTAAGTAAAGTTTTTGCAACCAATACGCTTTGTCTGCCTCTCCAATCACCAGCCCGCCCAAACGACCAAGCAGTTTATATATCACCTCGAGTCGGCTCCGGCCGTCTGAGACAGACTGGTCAAGTTCACTGACAACACCAAACTCTGGGGTAAAGCATCCACACCTGAGGACAGGAGAATGATCCAGGCTGACCTTGACAGGCGTTTAATACTGAAAAATGCAAGGTTCTCCTCCTTGGGAAGAAAAACCTGCAGCATGCTTATAGGCTTGGCAATGCTACACTGGCTAATACCACAGATGAAAGGGACTTGGGGGTCATGATTAACCACATTATGAACATGAGCCTTCAATGTGATGCTGCAGCTAGTAAAGCAAGCAAAATGCTGGCTTGCATCCATAGATGCTTCTCAAGCAAATCCCAAGACGTCATTCTCCCATTGTACTCGGCCTTGGTGAGGCTGCAGCTGGAGTACTGCGTCCAGTTTTGGACTCCACAATTCAAAAAGGACGTGGAGAACCTTGAGAGAGTGCAAAGGAGAGCCACAGACATGATCAGAGGTCAGGAAAAGAGACCTTATGATGAGAGGCTGAGAGCCATGGGACTCTTCAGCCTGGAAAAGCACAGGATCAAGGGTGATATGGTGGCCACCTATCAGTTTATCAGGGGTGCTCACCAGGATCTGGGGGAACATCTGTTCACCAGAGCACCCAAAGGTCTAATGGTCACAAACTCCTCCATGACCATTTCAGGCTGGAAGAGCTTCTTTACTGTCTGAGCCCCCAAGGTTTGGAATAGACTGCCACCGGAGGTTGTTCAAGCACCTACTTTGAACACCTTCAAGAGACATTTGGATGTTTATCTCACTAGAATCCTATGATCCCTGGTGACTTCCTGCCCCTGGGGAGGGGGCTGGATTCAATGATCTTTCGAGGTCCCTTCCAGCCCTAATGTCTATGAATCTAAGAATGCTTTACAACGACACCCACTTTAAGGCTGTGAAAGTGGCTCTATATTTAATGAATTTTCAAGCAACAAGGCACCCACATTTCAGGATTTTCACTCTGGGTATAATTACATTTTCCATTATCCTGTAGCACTACAGTGACCCAATTAAGGCTATCCATCCTTACTTTAATTAAATAAATAAATAAATAAATAAATAAATAGAAGCCTTTGCACATATAGGGTGCATCTACACATTTATTAACGCACTTTTGCTAATGCACATTAAATTTTGTACTTTCATTGTGAGGTACTAGAAAAAGGAGCATTAGCTTATTTTAATGCACATTAGCAAAAGCACACCTTTTTTTGTGATGCTTTAATTCACATTAAAATAGCTTAATGTGCATTAAAGTGCAAATGTAGACATACCCATAGGCAAGAAGAGATAAGTGAATGCCCCAAATGTAGGTGCTTGATAACCCCAGCACTCCATATTTGTAGTGCAACAGAGAGCAAACATTTGGGACACAATCTCCAATGAACCTGAAAGAAACAATAGGCAGCATTAGTAAAAGACCTGACTACTGTTGTTCTGTATGGATAGAGCTAGTTTTCTGTCCAGAAGGGCAACATATTATTCTCTAGAATTTAAAAAAAATGACACTGTCTGGACAGGCAGAAAGAGAGGCTGACTACCTACCTGACTACTAAAAATTGTTAGCATTAAGTTCTTCATATGAAAAAGATAAGAACACCTAAGTAGAAAACCCTGGCACAGGAAATGAAAACAAGAAAAGCAAAATACAACAAAAAACTTTTATACCTCAGAGCAGCAACAAACTTTCCTTTTCATTTTTTTCCATAAGAATGAGACAACAACCTAGAAGCCAAGACAATCATATTTCATTTTTAGTAATAAAATCTGAAGCCTTCATCACTTGTGAATAAGTGATAATTCTTCTCTCTTCCCCTCAGTCTTATGATATGTGATTAAGTCTCTCCTTTCCAGAGGTGGATCCTCCGTATTGAGCAATAAGGCCAGTAACTCCAGTTTTAAATACTGGCTGCTATGCAAATGACAAACAAAATAACTTTAACTGTGTTATACTTCTTGTCCCATTCCTCAGGATAAAGGAACTACCGAGGCAGACTAATGAAATAGATTGCCTCCTGCCACATATGAATTAACTTCTGGAATAAAGAAATGCAGAATCTTATCAAGACTGGTGACATTAGAGTTTAAAAACATAGTTTACTATTCTTTCCTCTATATCGTATCATTTAAGATCTTTTAATAAAACAACTAGTATAATTCAGTAAAACTTACAACAACAAAGAGAGATCTTTTGATTCAAATACAGTTTTCTGTGTGGCCGCAGCTTTGTCCTTCCATACTTATTATTCCAGATAGTTATCTTGTATTTCCCACAAAATATGTAACTTAATAACTGTGCTATATACAAAACAGCATACATGTACTCCTTATGCATTAAGAAAGAACCCCAAATTCTACAGCTATATTTAAACAGTTTAAAGTTTAGAGAAATTAGAGGGGGTCCAGAGGCAGGCAACAAAAGGGCTGGACAGCTACTGGTCAGGAATGATCTATGCTTTTCTACCATGGGTATTTCCAGTGTTTCTGGGCTTTGCTGGTTGCTTGCCCCCATCCCCACCACACCCCACCTTTTTCTGCTGTACATGTTGTCACGGCAGGGTCCTGCAGGAGGGCCGTGATCTCCTCAAGGCCCCCTTCCCATGCCAAGTTGGCCCAAGGGCACTCTCAGATTCTCGCCCGCCACGTCTTTGATGTTCCAGTATATTAAAGGGGACTGCCTTACGTCTTCTTGGACACAGTTCACTGTAGCCTCTAGCCCCGTGGACTCCCGGACCCCTCGTGAGTCCTGACCTGCAAATGGGTGCTTCGGGCACCCTAGCCTTCTGGGCTACGCGTGGCTCCAACCACCCCTTTCACCACGCCCCAAGACTCGCAGCTGGAATAGATGTTGTTCGGTCTCTCTCTGTCTCCACTCCCTCTCTGGCACTCGGGCTCTCGGCAGCCCTCTCTCTCTCTCTTTTCGCGCCCTCTCTCAGGGCCTTCTCTGCCATGCCACCCCCTCTCTGGGGCTCTTCTCAATAATGCTGCCCCCTCTCTGGGGCTCACCATGCCTGCACTGGGGCTTCTCAGCAACACCCCCTTCTCTGGGGCTTCTCAACTGCCCCTCTCTGGGGCTGGGGTCTGTACACCCTGAATGCTGTGCCCCCACTGGCACTCAGGTCCCCACACCACTGTGAGTCCCCTATGAGGCCTCCTCCAACCCCTAATAGCCTCACCCAAACCACCGGTGTAACAAACAGTAACGCAAACTCGAGCCTCTGGGCTATAACTTAAACATAAGCCACCCGGCTATAATCACGCTCAAGCCTATCGGGGGTTCTTCATCCCACAGCAGCCCATCAGGCTTCTCTTCTCCTCCACAGCAGAGAGCTCCTTCCTTCCTCCTGGGCTGCTGGCAGGGAACTGCCTCTGGCCTCAGCTCCTGCAGCTTGAAAGGGAGCCAGGCCCTGCCCCTTTCTGGTCAGCTGACCTCCTGGTTGCCCTGGCAACCCACAGCTGGGCTCCTTATTTCTTGCTAGGACTCCTTCCCCAGCAGTTTCCCCTCTTTAGGAGCAGGGCACCTCAGTGCCCTGTGACACGTCAGGGTGTTTTTAAGCTTCCCCAGAGGCACTAGATGTTGGCTACAGACATGGAATGGTGCTGCCTTAGTCGAGGCAGAAAGATTACTTTCTATTTTATTTGCACCTGGCATGCAGTTGCTCTTTATGATCTCATTCCATATATCTTGTGGGGTTTTTTCCCCCAATTACTCTGGACTACATTTAGTCTTTTGCTTAGATGCCTAAATTTAGGGACATATAAATGTAGTCACTTTAGTCATTTTACAAAACTCTTCAAATAGTACGAGATTTTGCCAACTTATTCCAAGTTCAGAAATTGTTTTTTTATAGCCATTAAGAAATTTGATTGGTTTGTTTTCCAAGGAACAAATAAGTTTTAAAAACAAAATGAAGTTGTGTTGTACATCACAAATAAAACACAGCTTGCTAAATCTAAGATGGTCAAAATAAATACCTTAAATATGGAAGTAACTACTAATTTCTGCTTCAAGAAAATTTTACACTTCCATCTATTTTTTGAAGATTCCTCAAAGTCTGTTTTTCATTGTGCTCACTCACTGTTCTCTCGTGGGGTTGTTTTGTGTTTTTTCTTTAAGTTGGGAAAAATATTCACATTAATGCCTGACTTATAAAATGCAAGGTCTGAAATGCAATAAATCCAGAACACCTTTGTAAGCAACATTCAGAAAATGATGGCATTACAACTGAGAATGGGCTTTTAATGCAAGCAAAAACTAAGAAAAAAAAATAGATATGAAAAAATATACACCTTAGCATTTCTAGAGACACTACTGTTACCACATAAAAGAATTTTCAAGCCACTAAAAACAGGAGTTTAGAAATAAGCGATGGTAATAATAATAATAATAATAATAATAATAATAATAATAATAATATTTTTAAAATCTGCTTAGTGTTAACAAAATTTGATCCAAAATAACAAAATGTATAGCAGTAAACATGCTACAAGGATGTTTCAGAAAGTAACATAACAGCAATTTCAAAATCAAAACATTTTGTCTTTACTAGACCACATCACTTCTCTACATAGTTGTAAATGATGGGAGCATTCAACAATGCTGCCATCAGATTCCCCACTCTGCAAACAAAATGGTTTGATTTTGAAATTGCCATTATTTTCCGAGACACCCTTGTATAACACTGGTTAATTTACAATCTTCTCATTTTTTTCTTCTCAATTGTGTCAGTAAGACTTTAAACCCAATAGAGTGAAGAGCCTGAGTAACAATGTACATCTCATTATGTTCATTTAGTTTAAAACAATTAAATACATATTTTCCCCAAATACTAATCATGACTATCATTACGATGAGTACTGGTTAAAAAAAATAATTGTGAATGGGAATGTGGAAGCTCCCTTCTGCCCCCGCCCCAGCAAAAAAAAAAGTATGTGTTGGTTACTTTGGTTCTGACTGACTCAAAGCCGGGAGTTCTTCAAGGCATTAGCTAATTTCTTGCCAACATTAACTACTTAATCAAGCAACTTACCAATCATGAAAAAAGAAACAGAGGATATGAAGATTGAGACTCTGTTGTTGGAGAAGCCATTGTATGCTGCTGAAAATCACCAATGCAGAGCTGAAAATAAGATGCTGGAAAAGCACCTCAACAAGCTTGAAAATAGTTGATGAAGAAATAAATGGCAATCATCAGGACCCCAGAATCTTCTTTGAATCCCCGGTTTCACAACTGGTAGACCTCAAAGTAAAAATAAATAAAAGGTGGATAAACTATCTATAAAACTTAAATATCTCAATTTTAAAAAGTATCCAACATTGACCAGTTATGTCTATACTGAGGACTGCTATTATCAAAATTAAAATATAAACTATTCCATCATAGTTATATTCTAGCATCTGAGACGCCATAGAATTTTAACTACTGTTTAAGTAGAGAGATCAGTGATTTTTCATAGACCAATATGTCTAGTCACTTATATCTATTACTATTAGGGATGTAAAAGTTTAACAATTAATCATTTAACCAGTAAGCCGAGTGATAACCAGCTAGCTTACTGGTTATTGTTTAGCAGTGCAGTATGGCAGGGAAGTGGGGGAAGTTAAGCCACCCAGTTCCCCAGCAGGAACTGAAAGGCAGCAGGTCAGGCAGGAAGGAGGAGGAGGGGAGGGGGAAGGGGTAGTAGTACTCATAGCCTATGAGGTTAAAGAGGAAAACAGAAGTGGCCTAATGACTATTCAATTAAGCAATTAGCTGCTCCTTCACAAGTGCTACCTTCCTCTCTCCCTTCACAGGTCTTCACCTGGGCCATGCTGTCTGGTTAGCCATGCCACTGCCTCCCCCCACCAACCATCAAAGGGCCCCAGAAGTGGCTTCTAGCAACAGCTGTGTCCGATTTTCTGTGATACTGGTTAACTGTCCAATATAATTAGAAGATAGAGGGATAATTTTTCAATGACATTTATATCTCTAATTACCAATCTAGATCCACAGAAATAAACTACTCAAACTATTTTCATAATAAATTGTGTTTCTCCAAAATTTTTTTTTTTTTTTTTGGGGGAGGGGACTTAAATGTGCAACTAATCCTATCTTCAATAATTTGTGACTCTGTTTACATTTTTACATCCAGCCAAAATGAAGATTTTCCTGCTCAATGACCTGAAAACATTTGATTCTCCAAAAGATAAAGTCTTCCTTTACGAATTTGAGCATGGCTCACTGAGGTCAAATACCTGAAGACTATCCAGTCATAACACAAGTTTATACATTTTATTACATATACAAAGTTTTCAATGGATAATAATTCTATTTGCCTGATTTTATTAATAGTTTATTTACTTTTAATTTTCTTTCCAAATCTAATTTGCACTCAAAAGTTTTTCTTCCACAAGGTTATATTTCCTCCTACTTTCAAACATTCCCTCTTCCTAGTTTCTGGACAGGTTTGGAGAGAGAGTTTTCCTGGCTTTCAAACCAATTTTGGATAACTGAAATATACTCTGATGTGATTCATCAACCTTAATTCTATTTTACCAAGGCTGACTGGATTATTAGCTAATGCTAATACAGGGGACAGGAGTGGTGCTTCACTTTACATACACAACTAGAAGATTTCCAGTTTATTTCTAGTTTATGACAGCAATTATTCATGAGATTCAAGCACTGTTAATGCAATTCACAATTATGTTGCAAATATTTAAATACGATCAGATTTCAAAATGCAGACTGAAAAAAATAATTTATTTCCCCTTATCCCCTACTTCTTGACTGACCACATTTTAATAAACGGAGAACAGCATTTTACAAAAATGGATCAGATTCCTGAAGACTTCAGCTCCCAAACAGGGATGAAAATAAGGGGTAACATTTTCAGGAAAACCCAGCATGTTGGGTGCCTTAGGACTGTCTAAAATCTACCCAAGGGTGTCAGATAAACAACCCTAGATCCTTAAATTTTTTGAAAACCTGACTCTACATGCACAAGTTTTTTGGGTTTTTTTTTTTAAGTATGTGGTTTTATACTTTCAGTTCCAAACAGATGTAGTGTTATACCTCAAAGATTATAGTATTTAAGTGTGGGGAAATGTTTTCTGTGTGCATGCACGATTATCAAATTATAATGTAATATCTAATTATTATTTTCAGAACCATGAATGTGAATAAAGCAAGTAAATTAAAAGTTGTGCAACTACACAGTTTGTAGGATGAGGCCATTATCTTATAATCTTATCCTTATACCCATAAGACCCCCACATTGTTTGGCAGGGTCCGACTTGCAAGAGCAGGGACCAAAAAAATAAAACCGAACCAAAAGAAAACCAACAACCCACACACACTTCTATGGATTCTAAGAGAAAGTGACAAAAGAAGGGACATGGGAGTAGGGCTAAAGAGTGGAAGGTTACAACAGTGAAATCAGACCATGATCTGTATTTTAGGCAGAGGTATAGTATAGCAGGGCAGCTGTGGTGCATGGGACTACTGTGGGTGTCAGTAGCAAGTCACCACTGTGGCCATGGCTATTTTTACTGCCCTCTACCTCCAAAGGCTACAGGTTTTACATATGAATAGCAACTGTTCTTTCAATTCAGCAAAATCATGTGCTCTTAGAACTCACATAAGTTGTCAGAACAAAGGGTGGAGTGGGAGAGTGCAGCAGGGAAAAAGCATCTACATAATAACATGATATCACATAACTTCTCCATTCAACAAAAGCTTAGGATTTATCAGTTCTCTTCTCTCTAACCTGCATCTACCTCAAATAAGGCACGACACTTTAAATCAATGCCTCGGTACTTGTAAAGCATTTGCAGGGGGGTTCTGTCAAATCACTGACTAGTTTAAGGGAATGTGAGTTAATGATGTTGCGCATAATCACTTAGTAAAATATGACAGCAAGTCACTGGTCACAAAATTTTCTTGCTCATTTTGTAAACAAGGACAAGGAGGCAGGAGAAGGCTGAATAAATAGAGGAAATGGATGTATATATTTATTTTTTTGAAATGCTGGCTCTGAGGAGAACATAGAAGAACCAAAAGGAAAAGAGACTAGGAGCACAGTGGTTGTGTGTGGCAGGTATTTCATTTGAAGAAAGAATTAATAGGCTGTGGAAGCACAAAGTGAAAATTAAGAGGATGAGATGCTGATCCGAAACTGCAGCAAAAGTCTCCTTAAGAGTGACTGATTCTCAGGGGCATAGTTTCAGATAGGGAGCCTGTCTGGCAGGCACAAACTATGGCGATAAACAGATGTCATCTTTGAAGTGCGATTAGCTGTGCTGGGATGTTTTGGCATGACTGATCTGCTCTAGTGGTGTCTGCAGATGTCACCCAGGACCACTGTCCCAAAGGATTGGGCCCCTGAAACCCCAGGAGCAGCAGGGGCTCAAATTTGCAGGACAACAGCCCTGGACGCCATGCCCCAACCTAACCAATAGAGGTTTCCCCACTTGTAAATGCACTCTCCAAACCAGGACATGGCAGCCTTATATGAACACCATGGGGATTTGCTGTAGGAGAAATCCCCATGCGATATGGTCTGCTCCATAACTGCAGATTGTCGCAAACCAGAGCACAGCCGCGTGAAATGCAAAACAGCAGAAATCCCACTACAGAATCAGGCCCCTTCACACCTGTAGAAACATGCTCCAAAAACTCCCCTGCAGGTACAGAGCAGAAGCCCAGTTCCCCACTTTGTACAGGCAGACAGAGGCTCTAGGTAAGGGCCAGACACCTGGGGCTGTTGTCATTCAGCTCAGGGCCACTGAAGATCTGGAAGCACGTAGGTAGTGTGGCTAGAAAATGCAGGCAGACCTTGTCTTCCTGTGCTCTTGCACCATATGCAAACAGAAGTCTACCATGTAAAGGCGGCACAAACTGTTACTACAAATTGCCACAGCCACAATTTTGGGCATCTGTGATGTGACAAGGAGCATGTTTAGGTTTTGTGATTCCCTACATTTTTTTTCATGGTGGCAAGAGGGTGATGTCTGTTTGCAATCTATATCTTCAATATTTGCACCTGCATTTTGTGCACCTGCAACTGTTGGCAGATGAAATTAAACTGAGGCTACAACATGCAGATTCAGATGTTTCAAGTATGCTTCAGTCCTGCTAGAGAGATCCCCTATTTGAAACAGTGCCCCTGAAAATAAATCTGTCTTAAGAAGGTTTTGTTGCTGTATTCTCCTGGCAGTTGAATAAGGTAGTACAAAGGTATTTGCACCCTCAATTTCAGAGGTTGTATTCCAACCATATTGAAAATTTAGTACAAAAGGCACTTTACATCTAATACATGACTTTCAGAAATCAATACTTATTTTTTTTCAATAACCAACACTGAGAAAGTAAAATGAAAATAAGGATAACCCTTCTTATTTTTAAATTGTTCAATAAAGTAGCATTAAGCAAAAAGTTCAACAATTCAGTTTCTTACAAAATATCTCAGGAAAACTCTAATAAAACAGAGTTGCGTTTCCTTTAGCATCTACATTCTTACTTGTACACATCCTTTAACATTTTTAGCAACACTACATCATGGTTATTAAATTAGCAAGCTCTTGTGAAAAAGGCCTAATCCTACAAATGTTTATGTCTATACCTAAGCACATACTGGGTACAGACATTACACAATGCACTTTAAGTGCACAGAAAGCCTTTTACACCCATATGCACACCTTAACATTGGCAGATCCTGCTCTAAGTTAACCCTGGATGGATGTGTACTAACCCAAAAGTGCTTTCTGTTAAAGCACTTTATTGAACATCTGTGCCAGATCTGATTGAAGATTAATTTACAGTGTGATCGCTGCCATACCAAGTGATGTTGTACGGGGCTGCTCTACTCTCAGGCAGAGCTTGTTTGCTCTGCCCAAGCACCAGGCTGGCTCCATAGTGACAGCCTCTCATCCCAGCCCTGCATGTAGCCTCATGGTGGGGAGGGGAGGGAGGAAAGGAGGGCTTCTGTCCCCATAGCTGCCCTGGCCCCGTGGTATGCCATAGCCTGCCAGGCTGCCTGCAGGACAAGGAGTCTGGGGTCTGTCTTCCAACAGCTGCTCCTTCCAGGCTGCCGTGCACTGCTGCTTGGTCAGGGGGGTTGTGGGGGAATGGCTCCAGGGTCTGTGTCCCCGCAGCAGGTCCAGCCAGGCAGCGCCATGCCAGTGCCTGAGTGGGACCACTGTGGGGGAAGGGCTCTGAGGTTTGTGTCCCTGTGGCATCCTGGTCAGGCCATGCTGAAT